GTGTCCTGGGAGGGGCCTGCATGGGACTGGTCCAGCAATGAATGACAGCGCTGAGGGTGTCTGCAGCTCTGAGGCCCGAGGATGAGACTGGAGGGGTCTATATCATTTCTGAGGCAGAACTAAGGTGGTAGCAGGTTTCAGGTGGGGGAACTGGACACCCTAGGGGAACCTGAGTGGGCACTGACTGGTCCCCCAGACCTGATATCCATAATGCCCCAAGCTGGGGCCACAATGCTGGTTTGAGGATCCATTCTTTGAAAGGCTCCCCAAAGTGTGGCAAAAGTATGACCTGCAAGCAGCTGTGGTATTTCTTCTGCACAGACACAGCAGTCCTCCACCAAGCCAGGTGTCCAGGTGCTTCATGGACCCGTGAGGTGGGACAGTGGCATCTGTTCCATGCATTGATTTTCATCCAGTGTGGCCACATGCTCCACACCTCCCCTTCTCCCTCCCCTGCGTGAGTGCACCTATCTGCTCACCCCTCGTGCTCCCATGTGTGTCTATCCACTCTCAGCTCTGCTGGAGCCTGCAGGCCTGCAGTCACAGGTGCAACCAGGGCAGACATTGCCTGCACTGGGCTCTGGCCCCCCAGAAGAACCTGGGGCTGCAGGCTGGAGCACACAGGTGGGCAGGGGTGGTGCTGGGAAGGAGGACAGGACAGGTAGTGGGCTCGACACAGAACCAGGCAGGCAGAGTCTGGCTTCAGCTGGAATGGGTGAGGTCCTGGTGCTGAGATGTGGCCAAGACCTATTGCCCAAGAGTGGCCACCAGGAGACCCAGCTCCCTGTGGCCCAGGACCCAAGACCAAGCACCCTGATGCCCAGAAGTCACTGAGCTCCAGGGCAAGGCCCATGCCACAGACAGGACAGAGCAGCCCCACTGGTCACCACCGAGACTTGGAGATTGTACAATCAGTGGGACCCACTCTAAATACACTCCAGGATCCAAGGCTGGGGACTGAGCAAATTCACAACCACAGAGACAGAGTATGAGGCCCAGGCCCCAGGAACATTGCTGCAGTGGGTACCCACCTGGGCAAGGAACACATTGCCCATACCACTATCTGTCAGATGCCTCAGCTCCAAAGTCCACAGGGTTTCACAGCCTGTGCTCATGTCCAGCTGCAAGAGGAGACTTCTCACCTCCCTCCTCACACACACTGCAATGCAGACCCAGAAGAGCCACGGCTTCCGGGCCTCAGATACATGTTCCAGCTCCAAGCCCACCACCTCACCTCTCCTGGGCCTGGGGTCTACCAGGACCCACTGACTCCACCTCTCCTGGAAGGCAGGTCCACTGGGGGTTTGGGTTCACTCTGGCCTTCCCTAGGCCATGCTTGCCCTAGGTCCTCTCCTACTTTCCTCCAAGGACAATCTAATCCCAGAGAGCGTGGGCCATGTGGCAAGGATGCCAGAGCCCAGCAGAAATGCAGGACAGGCCTGGACCATCACAGGCACCCCTGTCCCCAGGGCCAGGGCACACAAGATAAAAACCTCAACCCTGTTTCCAGCCCAAACATCCCCCCATGGCCCAGCAATATAAGGCAAGTGTTGAACAGAGACTGTTCTTGGAAGAAATCCTTGTCTCAGGCAGGAACCTGGACAGAAGTCACATCTGTGACACAAGGCACCCTAGGAAGACCACCATGGAAAGCCAACCCCATCCCATGTCTAAGAAGGGACGGAAGCCACAGAGAGCCCGACCTCCCATGCCCCGACCCAAGTAAGAAGGAAGCACTAATGAGCCAGAAGCAGAGGACTGGGGTTCAGAGCTGTGCTCCTGGAAGCCTCTTCCAGCACACGGAGAGACCCCAAAGAGGGAGCCACTATGTTCAGGGTCAGGGGACAGTGATACCACTCAATTGTTGGTCCTGCCATGTCGTTCCCTCTAGGGGTCAGGGCAGAGCCCAAACTCCAAAGCAGACCCTGTAAAAGCTGAAAGGACAGTAGAAACACCCCTGGGGTGCAGAACACAGCAGTGGGTGGTGACAGGGACCATAGCCACTCACAGCCATGGATCCTGCAGGCCAGGGTTACCCTCTCCCAGTCCCAGCTCACACTGCATCCCTGCCCTTCTGGTGACCAAGAGGGGTCCATGAATACTGCTGACCACAGGGATACGCACTACCTCCCCTCAACAGCCGCTCGGGTAGTAAGCACTGCATACAGGACTCAGGCCACAGTTCAGTGGCCTGGGCACTTTCAGGGCCTGTCCCACTTCCAGCAGGACCCCTCATTGATTCTCTCCAGGAACCTCATAGGTGTCAGGTTCGTCCCCACCCTGCTGTAGAGACTGCAGTGCCTCAGTGCCATTCTTGGGGCCTCTGGAGGCTGGAGCATTGGTCAGAGCCCAGGCCTGGCTGGCTCCCACCCTCTGAACAGTGTTGATGGTGGCAAAATCATCAGTGGATTTGACAGGGCCTCCACCCCGGCCTCCCTGCAGCCTCCCAGGCCTTGCTCAGCTCCACGTTCCAGCCTCCCTCTCTGTCCAACACAACCTTCCCTGGAGCAGTTGGGATCCCCCAGGAGCCTCCTGCCCCGAGTGGCTGTGGTACAAGGTGACCTGCAGAGCTGGGCACCAGGCCAGTCATCAACTTTGGGGAGGCCCAGAACGCTGTGAACCTCAGTCCAGGCTTCCAGTCCTTACAGGACAAGACTAAGTTTGACAGGTATTGCTACAGATTTGGGCCCCAGGAGCCCTGGGCTGGCCAGAGGACACAGTTCTCACCCTCCCAACTCCACTGAAGAACCTGACCTCCACCCCCTGACCTTGTGCTGCTCCCTGGCCCCAGGCGCCTGCCCTCTCCATTGTGTCCATGGTCAGAGTCATCCCCTACCCTGATCATCTTAACCACAGGCTGGGCACAGGCATTAGGGACACTCAACACATTTAGAAAGGCCACGTGAATCTAGCCTCTCCTGCTGGGAGAGTTTCTGAGGGCACCATGAAACTGGAAGGATCTGGTCGTCTCCATGATGGTGAAGGAGACACAGGGTAGACAGCAGGATCAGTGCCCTGAGGCTGGAAGGGGCACCTCCCACCCCTGTGTACAGGAAGAGGGTGTACAGCAGGAAGGCAGAGAAGCTCTGGTAGGGTTAGAGGGATAGGTGCCCAAGGTCGGCTGCCTGTGGAGGCGGCTGGGAGTTTCTGAGGTGTGGGCGGGGTCAGCAGGGGTCTGAACAAGTCCAGAGTCCCTCAAGGAGAAGGAACTTTGAGGAGGGGCTGGTGTGGCATCTCTGCCCTCCACAGCTGGACAGTGGCTCTCCCTCTTCCTGTCCTGGGCCACTGAGGGTGCATGGGTGGTGGCACCTGTACCCTTAAGGCTGTGACCATCCCTCAGGGCCCCAGGGACTCAGTGTGAGCAGGAGGCTGCTGGCCAGCTGAGCTGACATTGAGCAGGGTGGGGGTCATGAGGCCTGTGGACTGAGGTCTACTCAGGAGGCCCGAGGGCCGAAGGTACGCATGTGTCTCAGGGGACTCAGACACAAGGTGGGCTGCAGGTGCACATGCAACCTGCAGTGTAGTGTGAGAAGGTGACTCTCAGAAGAGGGACCTGGAGGTCAGCTCAGCAAACCCTGGCCCCAGAGGTCAGAAGTAGGTGAGGATGAAGGGTGGAGAGAGGCCAGGCTGGGCAGTGGCTTCCTGTTTAGAATGGGGGAGGCCCCGCCCCCTCACCAAGCTGCCTGTTCATGGGTGAGACCCACACATGGCCTCCAGAGAAGAGGGGTGAGACCCACAGTTCCTCTGTCACACAGAGTTCCTCCCAAGAGCCCAGGTCCCCTGTGCTGTCCTTGGAACCACCCCTCCTCCAGGGTAAGCAAGGCCGGCGGCTGGTCCCTTGAGCACCCTGCAGGTCCTGCTCTACACTGCCCATGGGAGGACAGCTGGAACAGGACCACCCCAACCCCTGAGGCGCCCTCTCAGGACCAGTCCCAGGGCTTGGAGACCCACAGGGCTGGGCTCTTCCTAGTGAATAACACACTCGACTGGCAGAGCCCAGGGCAGAGTGCAGCTGACCTGCTGGCCAGTGCCCGGGTTGCCAGGCTCCAATCCATCAGCCTGGTGTGGACACGGTGTTGCCCCCACTGGCCCAGAGACACCTAACATACACATCAAGGAGCGTTACGAAAGGGGTCTCTGAACCCCACGACCAAGCTGGCCATGCCTGCCTGAGTAAACAGCTCAGGTAAATTTCCCCACAGCTGCTTGGAAAGCCCAGTGGACACAGCAAGGAGACCTGGCTACCAGCAGAGCCCAGAGCTGAGGCACACGGATCTGGAAGAGCTTCTAAGAGACACAAAGTAGAGTGAAAGGGACTGAGGGGCAGAGGCATGGGTACACACAGAGGGGAGGGACAGCAGGAAGCCAGCCCTCTTCTGCTAGATGCAGGCGCATCTGTCTCAACAGTCTGAGTCTAGGGGCCCAGGAAAGGGTCCAGAGGGGACAGTCACAGGAAAACTGTGGGCGTTCTCGGGGTTTCACTGGACTTCCCCATGAGCAACATCCTTTTTTCTTTTCTACTCTGGAACCAGCATCACCCCGGGCACCCCACTGGGCATTCCTCTCCAGGCAATAAAGCCAGGGAAGTCGGGTGTGCTGGCGCATGCCTGAAATCCCAGCACTCGGGAGGCTGAGGCAGGAAGATCCTTGCAAGTTTGAAGCCAGCCTGGGCTACAAAGTGAGCTCAAGTCCAGTCTGAACTGCATAGCAAGACCCTGTCTCAAAAAGGCAAAAATAAATAAAGCCAGAGAGCTCCACACCCAGGCAGACCCGGGCAGAGACCCAGACCCAGACAGGAGCTAGGGGCATGCAAGGCTGTCCCTGCCACCACTGCTCGGTGACCACCGCGACTCTGCCTTCACTCTCGTCCGGATGGACCCTGCTCCTTGTCCCACTGCGGCTCCCTCCCCAGGCGGAGGAAAGGATGCAGAGGCATCCGCAGCGGGGGGGCGGGGGCAAGCCTTCCGACTGCAACCACTGACGACCGGGCAGACACTTACCAATTTTGGCCAAGCTGGCCACGAGGATCCAGAGCGCGATGATGTACGGGTCCTGAACATGGTGCCACTTGAAGGTGACGATCTGGAAGCCCTGGCTGGCACCGTGCGCACCGCCAGGCTGCTCCTCGACGGCCCCAGCCCGCGGCAGCGCCAGCGCCAGCGCCAGCGCCCCGAGCACAGAGCACAGGGGGCCCGCGTGCCGAGACATCGCCCCCTGCGTCCGCACTGCGCTACAGACCTGACCGCCTCCCTTGGCCTTTAATCCCGCACCCTCCGCCCCGGGGCGGGGCCTCCCCGCCTCCCCGCCTCCCCGTCTCCCCGCGCACACGTGAGCGCGGGCTCGCCTGGCCCCGCACACTGCTGCTGCCAGGCGCTCGCGAGCCAGTCCGAGCCCACAAAGATTAGGCGGTTCCTGGTGGGCAGCGGCCGGGTCCCCACCGATGCGACAGTGGGTGGGCAGTTCCGAGGTAGTGTTGGCTGTCCTGCACAGCTGCCCTGAGGGCCAGGGGCCCCAGGACCCTGAGCACAACCGTAGCGTACGTACCCAGGAGGGCTGACAGCAGTCGCGAGCGGGCCGGGCTGTGCCCTCTCTCCGCGCTCCTGCGGCCCACTGACTGTCCCCGACTCCAAGCCCCACCAGGAGTTCAGAGGGCTCAGGCATCTCGGACCTGCTAGGAGGAAACCTTCCCAGCGTCAGCTGAGATCTCCATCCTCTGCCCTTCATACCTCCGGGTCAGGGCTGCAAACTGGGCGCTTCCCTGCGCCCACAGGCTTCCCAAGACAAGCACAGCTCCTATGCCACCCTTCACCACAGTGCCTGGGTGGTCCAGAGAAAGACCCAGCTCCATGGACTCATCTCCTTTGCTGACCTCCCCCCCTGGAGTTTCCCACCTGGACGACTTCCTCCCTCCAGCCTTAGTCCGTGTCCTGTGCTGGCCCCCTGGGCTCACAGCTGTGATGCTGAGCCCTACCTGGCTCTTGGCTCAGCTCATCGGCTCAGGCCATCTGCTGGCCATGCCTGCCCTCCCCGAGGGACATGTTCCCAGAGAGAGCAGCTTGTCCCGGGGCTGGTGCAGTGCCTGCAGGCAGTGATACACATGGTGGGCAGAGGACAGGTGGGGCATCTGCCGATGACGTCTCAGCACACTTTGGAGCTCCCAGGAGCCCAGGGACAGTGCGGATTTGGAGGCCTTTTCCCTGAGGCTCTCATTTCCTAATGACAGGAAGTGGTCTGTGTGGCAGAGGTGGCTGGGTGCTGAGCGGCGGAGGGGCAGGACCGAGCCCACACAGGGTCTGGCGCACAGTACCACAAGTATGTGACCAACCCCGAGCGTGGCCCTGGGTGTTGCAGCTGCTGCCAGCTCATGTGTCCCCAGTCCCCAGAAAGGCTCACTGGATGGGAGCAGGCTGACTCCAACCCAGAAGATCTCTTTGCTGTTTCCCTGCACTCCTGGGGGCCAGGAGGAGGGTTGTCCTCTTGGCACCGCTGCTCCTGGGCACAAGAAGGGACTGTGCTGTCCAGAGCCTCCGGTCACCCTGCCTGTCTGGCGCGGGGCCTGCAGCGGGGCCTCTGGGAGCCACAGCAGTTCAAAGGGCAGAGAGCAGGGTGCTGCATGAGACACAGGTGTGAGCCTGACTGAGAGGGAAGCAAGGAGCCCCCACAAGGATGTGGGCAAAGGGAGCCCAGTGGGGCATTTGGCAGGGCCTGCAGAACATGTGCCCTGGGCCTGGTGGCTGGAAGCTTGGGGCTGATGAGTGTTGCCCATGTTGTGAGGACACCCCTCAAGGCAGAAGTCTGGCTAGGGGTGTGCTGCACACCCGGTGGTGGCTGGGGCTGGGCAGGCAGCCCTTTGCCTCCTTCCTCTCCAGGCTGTGTCTGCAGAGGCAGGCTGTGTGAACAGCGCCCCCTGGAGCTGGGCAGGGTGCAGGGGTGATCTGATGGTTTGTCTGCCATCCCTGGAAGGCTAGCCTATAGCCCCCAAATAAGGGTCATCTGTCTAACCCTCCACAAGCACCTGTACTTCACAGGAAATAGAAGTGAAAAAATGTAGTCTATCACTTTTGTTTCTGATTCTGTGTTTCATTTGTGTGGTTTGTGAATAAAGAGGCAAAAATTTAGACAGCTATGTATCTGCTGACAGGTATGAGTTGAAAGTCAGTTTCTAATAACTTTAAGGTACTTGAACACCTCCCTTTAAACCACTAAGCCAATGCAAGCCCCTCTTGAGCTTCTCACACTGAGTACGGGACACACCCTACTCCTCACCTGGTCTCTGGAGCTCATGGGATGGACAAATGGGAATCAGCCCTAGAGCTGCCTTCCAGATCCACCCCCAACACCAAGGTGGGTTTATCTGAGTGTCAGCGCTTCTCCTTCTGCCTGCTGATGTGCTGGAGCCCAGCACCCAGGCAGGCCATGCAATACCCAGCCCTCCCGAAGGCACAGGGCCCATACCACCCCAGGGATTCGTTTCTCCAAGTTCCCACGGCACCCAACATTTGCATCACCTTTCCTTGGGTCTGGGGCTGCACTTGGGGCAGCAGTCAGACCCTTTGCAGAGCGGTTGCCACAGTCTGAGCAGCAGCTCGTCCTGGCGGAGGGGTGGGGTCAGGGTTAGGGTTGAGCTGTACAGTGGTCATGCTCGTGCTAAGAGCAACCAGGACTGGAGTGGGGCTGGGCCATGTGCACACACTCAGGACTGTGTGGGCCAGGGCAAGTGCCACACCGACCCTGCCACCACCCAGACCTGCCTGGGTGCCCATGCCCCAGCCTGAGCCACTCTTACAACCACAGCTGCCTGGCCCTGGAGAGGTTACACCTGTTGGCCCTTCTGCCTGTGGAGACAAATGGCCCCTCTGTGCTGTGACCCCTCTCACTCCACTGACTGTGCAGGCCTCTCCTCCCACATGGCCTTTTCCCTTCTCTCCGCCTGATCCCATGGCTGCATCTTCCCAGGACACCTCCTTTCCAGTGCTCCTCTCCTTCTCAGACAGGAGAAGCTCCCCTCCGCCTTGCTGGACCCCTCTTCCTGGAGGGGCCGAGGCCATGGGCTGCAAGCCCCTCCCCAGCATTCTTGTGGCCCCTCTCTGGGTAACTGGCACCATCCTTTCCAGGGACAGAGCTCCAAGGGCTTGGATCCCTCCAGCAACAACAGCACCTAGCGTGGACTCTGCTGTGGGAGGACTGAGGGCCCTGTAAAAGATGGGACCTCTACTCCAGTGACTCGGGCGGCATGGCCACCGGTCCTGCACCCCAACTGCCACCAGAAAGGACAGAGCCTGGAGACACAGGATACCACACCAGCCCAGCCTCTCAGAAGAGAGACATCAGGCTTCACTGCAGCTGAGAAAAGAGGGCCATGCTGGTCTTAAGACCCCAGGGATTTGTCACCCCCAGATCACCAGATTCCATCAGCTCCCAAAACCCACAGTGGCCCCATCACTAGTGGGTTTTAGGAAGGTTTCTCACTAAATGGACATCAAGGTGCCTGCTGCCCATGCTCTACCCACAGAGACAGAAAAAGAGTACACAGTGTGCAGTTTGGAAAGGAAGAAGCAACGGTAATGTTAGTACATAAGATTTTTTCTGTCGGATTCCAGAAAGCACTTCTGACAAAGCACAATCCCTTGGGGCTCAGCAGCCACCCCTCCCTCATGGGCCCAACATACAACAGTGGTCCATGAGATTTTTTTTTTTTTTTCCGGTACCAGGAACCAAACTCATGACCTTGCGCTTGCCAGGCAGGTGCTGAGCCACTGAGCTAAGTCCCCAGCCCCAGGTCCATGAGATTTTATCCCTGGTGATTTCACAGTCTAGTTTGAAATGAGGACAGTGCTCTCACAAGGATGGAATTGTCAAAGGGTTCTTTTCCCAGGGCATGTCCTTGAGTAGTGGTACTGTGTTACAGTGAGGAAGAAGTTAGCAAGGATGTGGCTGCAGCATCAACCTTCTAAAACCAATTACATCTCTATATGCTACTGATAAATGTTTTAGAAAATGAAAGTTAATTTAAATTCTGTTTACATGATATCAAAAATATGAAACAACTAGGAAAAAAATCTACCAATAGCTGTGCAAGGCATTGATGGAAAAATTGATCAGTGGGACTATCTGTGTAGGCATTCACAATTTGCTTTGTGGAAAGATGTTTCAGACTTAATATCTTCAATAAATATCAGACTCCTCAGCCTTTCTTCCTTCCTTCCTTTCTTTCTTTCTTCATCTTTCTCCTCCTTCCTTTTTTGGTACTAGGGATTGAACCTAGGGTGTTCACGCTGAGCTATATCTCCAGCCTTTTTTTAAATTTTTGGTTTGAGACAAGTATCACGAAGTTCCTAAGTTGCCTGGCCTGGGTTTGAGCTTGTGAGCTCCTGTCTCAGCTGGGATTACAGGTATGTAGCATCATACCTGACTTCACACATTTTTTGGTCAGATTTCGCAAATCCCATTATTCAAAGAGTCTGCTCCTCATACCCAAACTATCAGGTTTATTGATGTAGGCTGTGGAATATTCTTTTAATATCCTTTTATGTCTGTGAGCCCCAGATCTCTATTCTGCACTTTGGTAGTTTTCTCTCTTTCTAAGGCTAATATTGCTGGAGGTTTATCAACTTTATTAATCCTGTCACAGAACAAGATTTTGCTCTTATTGATTTTCTCTGTTATTTTTTCTACTAATGTGGATTTTTCTACATTATCTCTGTCTTCTGTTTAATGAACTCCATTATTTCTTTCACCTACTTCCTTCATCTTTATTTTGATGTTCTTTCCTTACCTTCTTGAACCGGAATCTTAGGTCACTGATTCTCAGCACATCTCCTTTGTAAATATCTTGCTTTTCCAGTAAGCTATAAATTTCCCTTTGATAACTAGTTTTGTGCATTTCAGTTTCTTTAGTTGTATTTTCCTTGTTCAGCTCAAAATATTTTCTGTCTTCTATTATGATTTTGCTTTAACATATGTTATTAAGAGGTCTGTTGCTTAATTTACAGTTGCTTTGTTTCCAAATATTTGGAGATTTCCCTATTATCTTTCTGTTATGAGATCTAATATGACTCCAGCATGGCCAGACATCACATACTGTGTAATTTCGATCGTTCTTGGTGTTTGTGGTTAAGAATCTGGCCTTCTGTGGTAAATCTGGCTCCAGTGAGAGGGCACATTCTGCAGGGTCAGGCTCTGTACAGGTCCATTTCAAGACGTCACTTGATGTTGTTCCATCCTGCATTTCTAGAAAATTCAGTAACTGA